GTTTTCTTCCTCATAATCATGCTTTAGCGCCTCTGGCCAGTTAGCGTTATTGGTTTGGACTCCAATGTCAGTAATATTTATAGCCGGTGATGCTGGGAATACATTACATTCTGGCCAGCTTCGAGGACGTAGTAATTTTTTCTGAGTCATATTTTTACGTTTCTTGTTTAATGAATTCTCATAAACCTTGCCTTTTCAAAGACAAAAAATATATACTTTAAGAAAGATAGAAATTAAATATTAGATAAAATGCTTATTGCGTTAATCAATAATGTATTAACCTTTTTAATTTGCTCTAATTTAGTTGAGAGATCAATATCTTCTGTTTGGGTTGCTTTATCCAAGGAATCTGTCTGTATTGCTTTATCTGAAAAGGTACTATTTTCTGTCTGCATTCCGGTATCCATACTATAAAGAAAAGCTTTTTGAGATTTTGCATTATTGTAAACAATTAGCCTATTATATAAATATTGCTCAATCCGATCACTTTTTTCTGTAATTTCTTCTAGTGAAATAGGATTACGCCTCATATTAAGTAATTGATCAAAAGCTCGTTTGACTAAACTTGGTGGCATTTGATTTATAATAGGCTTATAATCAGGATGGAATGTAGGTATTTGCGCATATAAATCAATAACCTCTTCGATATCTGCCATTTAGTAATGAATTTATTTTAGTTATGTAATGTTTAAGTATTTGATCAAAATAAAATTATGCATTGGCAGATCGGCTAGATATATTAGCTTTGATCAAGAATTTCACGTGACATCCTGACCATTGGTCAGCAAAAAAAAATCATGTGACTTCGGCTGATCGTGAACAATTTTTTACGCCGATCTCTTTTGCCAAGAAATAAAACATGTATATTTATGAAATCGACTACCAGGTCACTTTAATGATACAGTAATATAAATAAATACAAAGGTTTGGGAACTTGCCCATAATACATGATATTTCTATGATACAATACATGGAATTACACTAACTATTTATTATATGGGGGCGTGGAAACGGTAGGACTTGGATTAACATTTCGGGGCGGATGAGAGGTGGCTTGTTCTAATGCCTGCATTATAAGACTCCTATTCACGATCATTACATTTCTTAAGGTTAAAAGTAAACGAATGAGAGATTTCAAGCGTGACTGGTGAGGGGATAACGGAATTTCCGCATGATCTAGATGGAAGTATCTTGGTATACCAGCCAAATCCTTCACAAGAATATTTAGATACATAGTTGTACCTGCGATCTGAATTCCCACAACACCAAATTGATTGCCAACTGGTCTACATAATGCACTGATATAACTTGCCCCATCCAATGTTTCTCTCCATAACTTAACCTCGTCATCTGATTTTTTTGAGTTACTACATACGATACGTGATGATTCGGTATACAATAGCTCAATAATTTTTTCATCTTGCTTCACTAAACCCATAATGTCAGGTTTTTTTCCCATCCGCTCTCCAATTATTCCTAGATTTCTCCGAGCCTTGCTTGCTATACTTTGACGTTCAGCCGTGCTTAGACAAATAGCATCATTCGGAAGATCGCTCAAACTCGTTCGAAGTAAAGGAATTATGACATCTGCCATATATGTTCCTTCACTCTGCTCACTGCGGGATGTACTGGTCATAAATGCGGGATTGCTCCATATTTCACTACTGATAAAAGAAAACGTAATTAATACAGTGAGTTCCATCAAATTTTGAATAAGCAAGCAACTTACATTATGCCTAGAATACGTTCCGTTATCTTTACTAAATCTGTCTCACTTTCTTTCCATTTTTTATTGTGAAGTATGTTCTTCATAGACCTTGCATTCTTCACATCATTGAAAACTTCCACAAAATTAATACACTTAGTGATAACCGAATCAGGAAGGATACATTTCATATTTTCTCGAGGTTCCATGAAGATATTTTTTTGCCTACTTCCCAAGTTTTTCACGATGTCTGAATTATCACTTAAAACCATGCTTGCTTCAGGGTCCCGCCATGTGAGATCTGAAGAGTCTATACTCGCTAAACTTTGTTTAAGTGAACCATAAAGATTTATGTCTGCTTCTGTTGTAGGATGCTAAGCAGAAAAGCTTGTTAGTTTTAAAACATAAGAAATCTCCAAACGGCGTAATAATCACCTCAAGTTTAGATTTTAACATATTAAGATTTTGTTCTATTTCTTCCTGAGTATGGTCCATAGGTAATTCTCTATCCATATTCAATACTTTTAATGCTTTTAGTCCGCGAACACTAATATATCCACTCTCCACCTACAGTAGATGTGATAAAAGGTACCGGTACATTATTCCCATCCTAAATTTATGAATTATAATTCCTGCCATACGTGTATTTTCAGAAACTTTTAAAAAGGCATATCGTTATTATTTTGGCTATATAGTCACGCACAGTAGAGAGGAGCAGAAACCCTCAACATCCTAAGACATTGATCTTCTGGGCCGGCACTCCCTGACCTTCAGCTATGACAAACCAAACTATACTAAGCCTACATCTACTATAGCGCTCATCATTAAAGTAAGAAACAGAAACAAAATCTCATTTATGTCCATACCTGTGGTAATATTTCTAATACCTTAGTTCTTCGACCAAGATTTGTTAGCTTCACTAACGATGAATTGACTGCCCGGTCAACTATTTCCCGTACTTTCTCATATGGAGGTAGAATATTATCCTCTATTGTTAAATAAACTACGGATGCCCCACAAAGAGTATCAAATGATTCTTGTAATAAAAGAGCTTCAACCTTAGCTACTAAATTCGACATAGTAAAAAATATTAATAAAAATATACTGATATAATGTGAAGTTATCAATGACAAAACTTAATTTTTTTTCCATACTACCCTTTTAAATGACCCCATTTGCGTTCTCTCTGGGAAGGACAGGAGAATATGCAACAGATCCTTACGCCAAAATTTTGTGTTCGAAAATAAGGACATGTAGGATGCACATTGAAGATCTCGATATTTAGAAAGGCATTAGGGATAATGCATATAGATTTCATCTATTTACTTAAACTATGACCTGATAATGTATTTCAGTTGGAGTGGGTAAACCTCATATAGTAGAATAGTCTGTCTCTCCGGAGGCAAGTATACATATCAATTAATATATTATTTTTCTAGAACATTACAAGAGAAAAAAAAATCAAAAAATTTTTTGGGGGAGATAGCTACGGATTTATGTGTAAAATTATTTTGTCGTACAAGCAGATAATCGCACAGATGATTGACAATGTATCACTATTACATCATATATGCACTTTACAAGCTTTAACGAGGATCAGGAACATGTTTATTTATGCTTTAGCATCTTAATGGTTGTCGCACATGCCTATATGCATTGCATAAGACGCAGGCAAATATACTCTGTGGCTAAGATAATATTCGGGAACTTTAATCAAGAAAAAATTCACGTTATTTTGGGCGAACATGTTCGCTGAAATTTGCCAAGGAAAAATATATGTGAATAAAGATATATATCAAGAAAGTAATGGTCTATATTAAAATAATTTTCAGAATCAGTCAGTCAAACCGGTTAAACAATTAACTATCAATAATAGATATATATTTTTTTTGTAAGAATGATAAAGATTTCTAGAATAAAGTTTAAAGAACTATCACATAAAGAACTTAGCTATCTTTTTTTTATGATCAGTTTATCACTGTATGATGATACACCTCCCAAGAGTAGAGTCACGAATCATAAACTTTAGAGGTAGTTTCTAAAGTCTAAAGCGTAGGGATAGTGTAAAGGGTGAGCATTTCTGCGAGACCCTCATCTCTTTCTATGATACACCTCCTGAGAGTGGAATTACAAGTCATAAACTTTGGAGGTAGTTTTCTAGGTCCAAAGCATAGAGATGATGTAAAGGTGAGCATTTCTGCAAGACCCTCGTAAAAAGGTAGTGATATTTGAAAACAGTTTTTAGTAACTGTTAAAAGTTTGGAGTGGTGTTAAAACTTTTATATATTTCTTTGTATTATCTGCACGTGATGAAACAGGGATGCGTCACATATTTAGAAATACAATTTAACGAGAAAATCGATGAACTTGCAAAATTAAAATGACCCACTGTTAATCTCAACTTTACTTCATTCAAATCTAGTTACTTCATATCATTCAAGAAATCATTTATATTCTTATTTTTATGTCATTTTATTAAAGATTTCTATCGCTTTATATGCTTTTCTGATATTATTAATCTTTCCCATTTTGAAAAATATTGCTTACTAGATATTAATTGGAACGTAACATTCTTTATCTTTGATGATAATGAATTAAGATCAGTAACTTTATATCACGTATTATATACTAAAAAGCAAAAACTTAAATTCTTATTAAAATTACTTCTTACATTCGAGATCTTGAAAGTTAGATTACTAAATCTGAATAAATAAGAGTGAACTTGTTGTAGGTGTCATATTGAAAATGAAGATTTCAATTATTTCTGAATTTATTCTTTCTTAACATAATTAATTCTAGTAACTATTAAATCAATAAAAATTGAACTTCTAGTACAAATCGACCAATTCACAAATTTAATTCAAAAAATGATCCAAAATATCAACATTTACTATTTGCATCTATTTTGAATTTCCATTTTAATTTCTCAGAATTTTGCTTTATAGGCTTGATTAAGGGTATAATTCCAGTCAATTTTTATGACAGCATTTATGATACTATAAATCACATTAACTTGATTAACACACTCCTCTCGTATACCATTCAAGCATTTTATGAAAACAAAAATGTGAACTTTTAATCAAAGTAAAAAAACTAACTAATATAACACCTTCTGATAAATGATCCAATTGGATAACTAGTGTTTTTTTCCATTTCCCATCGCCTTCTACAAGCACCCTTCTTCTTTTATCTCCTTCTTTCAATATGGTAATTCTTAGTCAAATGAATAGGTAGCAACGAAGCCACCCACTCTAGATGGTTGAATTTCCTCTTTCTTAAAGGGTTATTAATCTAGAATGGTGTAAGGTTAAATCATGTGAAACTGTTGCACTTAAAAAAAAAAAAATTTATTAAATTTTTAAAGTGAAACAACTTTTTTTTAAAAAAAAAACATTTTATTAATAAAAATGATGTCAAATTTTAATAAAGAATTAATTTGAATTTTAAAAAGGATTTATAAATGATTCTTTTTCAATTACTTAAAAAAGAATAAAATTTAAGTAATATAGCAATACAAATGTTATTTTTATAGAATTAACTAATAAATATCAGCTATTTAATAAATACTAATAATAAGATAAATGATCTAATGAATTGAATTATTATTTTTCCATATGGAACCTTTGCAATAGGAAGGGATGTTCAATTTAACATTAACTCATTTTTTATTTTTCCCGGCAGTTTCTTCCGACAAGAGTACAACAACATCGACCAGGTGCCTGGCCGCATCCCTCGAACGCCCCCGAATGGTCTTGAATCAAACAACTGGACATATTCTTCGACACCGACACCGAAAAATCGGGTGGCGAAGAATATGTACGGATAACGAAGTCCAATAAAATCCTTTTTAAAATTTTTGATCATTTACAAATTTCAAATAGTTATTATTTATGATGGTGCTTATTTTTATTGGTAATTTATACAGAGATGGATGTTTATTTTTGCTAAAAGTAATCTTATGCTAGTACATAATATCATTATTTTTTTTTTCTATATACAATAGTACTAATAGTCTAAATAATAAGATCCAATAATAAGTTTATCGTTCTTAAAAAGTATTTCTTTTTTTTTTCAAATTTCGGATGATGTAAATTCCTGAATTGTATTTACATAATAAAAAAAATAAGAAAATATATATATATATATATATATATTTTTTATTTATACCCTGATCATAGAAAATGTCCGAATTAAGTTTTAATCGGTAATTAACCAACCAAGTTCTAAATAAATATATCCAAGGTCGAATTAAAAAGAAAGAAATAAATAAATATGAATGTGTGTATATATATATAAAAGAAGAAGAAAAAATATTTTTATTAAAACATATCATTTAAAAGTCCTTAATTTTTAGAAGAAATTAATGTCTTACTATTTAAATGAATTGGGTCTGGCTAATTTGAATAGATTATAACCACACTCATGACATTAATAAATAGGAAGAAATCATAAGAATTCTAGAATGAAAAAATCATTATAAATGACACTTGATTTTTTTTTTTTTTAAAAAAAAAAAAAAGATAAGTGAATTAAATTACTCACCTATCCTTGTATTATTCGGTGTAAAAAAACTTTGTAAAACTAATTCAACGATTCGATCAACGTGACCGCTTGCCAAAACTTGTTTCATATTCTCGGAATCTTTTATAACGTTCCAATGTTTTACAGCAAAGTCCTGACCGGCATCTTTTAATCGATCATCATAAAATTTCCAACCCAACATTAAAACTTGATCCCAATTATCATGAGTCATCAAATTAACCATTCTTTTGGCGGCCATTTGACCAAGTTGTTCTAAACTAAGCATATCAGCTTTAGAATAAATATCTCTTAAAAGTTCAAATGTCAATCCCTCCTCAAGTTTCCCTGTGTAAAGATGATGAACAATACATCGAAACGCGTCAAATGGCATGTCTCTAATGGCGATAGTTTTCATATGATTTTCCAACCATTCACCTCCCAACATTCTTTCAAAGTACATTGATCGAGCTGCGAGAATAACCCTATGAGCTTTCATGCTTGAACCACAATCAAATACGAATTCAACATCACAAAATCTTTCTTCTCCGAAATATCTCTCAAAGGGCATAAGTGATATATTACTTACAATGTCCATTGAACTTGAACCCTCCCCTGGTGTTATAGTATCCTCGAAAATTTGAGTTCTGACTAATAAATCTACTTCGGTCAATGTAGTATCATTTGGGAATAATTCTTTAAGAGCGATAATTCTTGCAAATCCGTAATCTGCGTGCACCCCATTGAATTCAAATTTTGTCTCCAAGGTATGACGATCTATTACAAGTATAGGTCTCTGTTTCGTAGTTTGAATATTCGAATCTACTCGATAAAGTGCTAGTCGAAATTTCTTGTGCCTTCCTGTTATACTATTTTGTTTCTCGTAATTTGTTTGAATTGCTTCAAGATAAAGAGAAATATAATCATTCGATTTCTTATCTACACCATTAGGAAACATTTTTAACCTCCACAAATACCCGGAATTATTATGGGAGTTATTTTCATGAACGACATTGATGTTGGTTGACTTCCCGCTTTGCCCTCTCGGTGACCAAAACCTTTCACTATAGAAAAAACTACCATTTGGGTGTCGAGAAACAAGTTCATTAAAACAATTTATCTTCCATGTAAAGGCAAAGTGATTTTCGTCCATAACTTTTCAAGTACCGAATAATAACTAATCTCGCTCAAAAGAAATATTTTAACAACGAAACTTTGGTAAATCGTGGCTTTATAAATAGTTTTTTGAAATTTTGAAATTTTTGGAATTGACAGATTTAGTGTAACTAAACTATGCAAAATCAGGATCATATGATGAAATGACATTTTTACAATCCTGATTTTTCAAACGCGATGAATTTGTTCTAGATTAAACATTTCTGTTTACACCTATCGATTGAATAAATAAACATTTGGCAATGAAATTTGAGAAAAAATTGATTCAAAGTAATTTATTCTGAGTAGCGAAAAATATGAATAAATTTTTAAATTACGAGTGGAAAGTTTTTTTTTTTTTTTTGGCAAAAAATTTTTATTTATATTCGTAAGACTTCCTTTTATAGAAAAAAATATTAGTCGTACAAGACCGAAAAATTCGAAAAAATCAAATATCTATTAATTTTTATAAATAGTAAAGCCAAAAAATTTGAATGCTTCAAGGTTAACTAACATTCAGAGTAAAATTTATTGGTAATTGTATAATAAGTCTATTAATTTGCATCTTTTTTTCAACAAATATACCTTCTATCAATAAATAAAGGAAAGGAAATATATATTTATAATTTAGCGTTTATAGGGCCTTCATTACAATACCAAGCCATCTCAACTTCTTTTCTCTGAAATCTATATTATTGCCATTCTTAAAATTAGTAAAAAATGAAACGAGAGAAATTTTAAAACCAAAAAAAAGTGTAAACTTACCCGCATTTTTCATAGAAAGGAACATTCTGAATTTTTTTCGTTTTTATTTTTTACATTTGAAAGAATTTGTAAGTTTCTTTACAAGTGTTCTTTAACGTATTAAATTTAATCAATTAATTATCTTACCTTTTCAGAACAATCCAAAATGACTTAAAAAAAAAAAACGAGAAAATTGCGATCATTAGTTAAAAATGCCAGTGTTAAGATAAAAAATTATGGACTGAATCTTACCTTTGTAGCAACCAGTTTTAGCTCCAATGTATTTAAGAGCTTGAATAACTCTGATTTTTTTTTTTTTTTTTAAAAAAAAGAAGAGTTTAGTCGTAAATTTATTAAATCTGCCACAAAAATAAGAATAAAAAATTACCTTAAACCAAGTTTTTTGCCTTGTTGGTTTTTATCAACAGCAATATCTTCAATGTGTCCAACCTATATGATAGATAATGAGAGAATTTAGAATAAATTCAAATTTAGGATACTAATGGTAAAAAAAAAACTGACCAGTCCGGTGTTTCTTATGAACTTTCGTTCAACGAATATTGTTCCAGCTCCGACAATACGGTTTTGGGGAGAAACGATCACGAGAGTAAAATATTCATGGTTATGAGCTTTCAAGTAAAAGAACCGTTCTAAATAAAAATGGTTTATTTAGTACTTAAACCCTTGAGAAATATTCGCAGAATGTCATAGTTACAAGTAAGAGAACACGTCGAAGCAGTCAATGTACCGAGAAATTGCGCTTTGGTAATGTTTCCTATCACAGTTAGAACAGAAAGCACGTCAAGGAAACCGCGTTCATAGTCGTCACTAGCTAAGGGTCGAATGGTATAACCTTTGGGTAATGTTGCTTGAACTTCGGGGGAGATGAGATTTGATGTAAAAAGAAGGTTTTCTTGTGCGGACATGATTTATTATTTCTGAAAGTTTTACAGCTTTGAGCATGCTTTTATAAATGGATTATCCAATTAAAATCTCAAGCTGCAACATTAAATTTTTTTTTTTACATGTAACATAAAAAGGGGACAGAATTATGTAGGCTGCAATAAAAACAACCCATGTCGCGTTCGCAAAAATTTACTCTGATTTTTCATAGAGGTTTTGAATTTTTAAAAATATCTTGTTTTATTAAGTTTATGGTAAATTGAAAATTTAATATATGTGCATGTAAACAATAATATAAACATAAAAATTACATAAGTGAATTGTTTCGATATAATATAAAAGGTGATTAAATTATTGAAATGTTGGAAAAAATGACACTGATAACAAATGCAATGAGATAAGAAAAGAAAGTAGGAGTTGAAGAAATAACACCATCTCCTTTGACTGAAACGGAAGGAAGAGCTGAACAATCGTCCGCTTTACTCTATATAATTAAAGGAACAGATTAATAAATAGAAGTCGAAAAAAAAAAAAATAGCAACAGAATTACTTACGAATGATGGTTGATTAAGATCAGAACAGTTATTTGAAGAAGAAATTTTAATTGGTTCATTTTTGGCAACATTTCTTAACCAAATACGTTGATAATCAGATTTAGGTAATTTAGGATTAACAACGTTAATCATGTCTTCAAGCAAGGCATCTCCCATGACAACAGCATTCTCAAACCAGTCTCTCCCATCATTTGGACCCGTCAAACCATCTTCACGATAAATCGCTTGATTTTTAATAAATTTATATTGTTGATTAGGGGTTAATTCAAAATTTTTGTAAACATCATCCAAGGTAGGAGCGACGAAAGTTTCATCAATTAAAATATCAACATTCTCAATCGCTTTAAGGAAATCGACTGAATTAGAGTAAGATAAAGTTGTAGAATTGAAATAAACACCACCGGCATCTTCAGTTAATTGCATTTTATACATCGCATCAGCAATCTTGTATGCGGCCGTATTTTGATTAAATTCTGATGGAGCCTCGTAAGCTACCCAAGCCACGACGGGTTTATTCGATAGCGTGTTTTTGCCAACCAAATTCTTAAAACACTCATAATTTGACTTGATCTTTCCGTAAACCTCATTAGCTTTTGATTCCGCGTTAAAAAACACGGAATAAAATTTTATCCATTCAACTCGATTTAATACTCCTGGGTCGTTGGATGAGGAGACCGAAACAGACTTTTTATCCGCCGCAGCATCAGTTGCTCCAAATATCAAATCAACATTTCCTAATTCTATCGCGTTAAGAGTTTCATTGGTGGAGAGTATTGTGATATCTCCATTATCCTTGGCGTATTGTATACATGGAGAGGAGATTAAATCGGCGGAGCCCAACACTTTAATGACCGAACGAAGTCCGAGCATCTACATTATTTGAAAACCCGATAGGTTAATACGTTCCTATTATCACGTGCTCAGTGTAACATGATGTCTTACATCGAGAAAAGCGTTGCTGCTGGTGTCAGTCACGGCGACACTATTTATGGAAACGGGAAACGGCTTGACGTTCGCTGGAAGATCATTAACGGTTCCGCATTGATAAAGACCAAATACTTCTTGGGTCTGTTTATTAGTAACGAGCTTATAATGATTGAAATATTCGATACTAAACAAGGAAGCGGTTTCAACTAAATGCAAATTTCAAAGAATGGGGTAAAATATATATATATATATAAAGGAAAGAAATTAAAAGGTATCATGAAATAAAGCGTACCGGTAACTTTATCAGTAAAATAGTCATTATCGGCCTTAAATTCAGTAACACATTGACCAGTGGGCAAATTTTGAGCGGAAACTTCAGGTACCAAGACGGATGGTATCAAGAGGAAGAAAATACAAATTATTGCAACAAAATATTGGTTAAATACCGACATTTCATGAAAATTAATGGGAAGCGTAAGACGAGACATTTTTTCTTTTATCCTTACAGCATTACTTGGAATTTTTGGTTATTTAGCTCCCATATTTATAACATCAATTTCAATCAAATCAAAATTTTAATTTATTTTGTACAAAAATAATGATAATAATAATAACATTAATAAAAAAAAAAAAATTCTTAGAAGAAAGTGGATTAATTTTATTGGAAACGGGTTATTCCCATTATTCTTAAAAGGTTAGAACGTTCTTTTGTACCCTAAATTAACCATTTATAATTAATGATTTTTTCCTGAATTATCATCAAAATTTCGCATTGGTTGCGCTTTTAAGCTTTTCGTCCATTTATGTACCACAAGAAAAACAAAAATTTAAGTAGTGCTTTACTATATTTGGGAATTTGCCATTGCATAAATCAATTTTGTTAAACCCTTGCAAAACAAAAAAATTGCAACTGAAATATTAGAAATAAACATAAAGAAAATCAACGTAATTTTATTATATTATTAATCCGAAATTAAAAAAAAAATGATTCCGCTAAAAAAAAAAATTTTGTAACTTTTCTCTTAATAAACATTGAACGTTAAAAAAAAATGTAATAATTTTATTTTTTATTGGTGATCAAAAATCAGGTTGATCTTCATCTAGAGCAAAAACGGCTTGTGGTCCGAACCTGATAATCTTTGGACCATCTTTTGATATTCCTATTGGTTATGTTTGAAAATTACAACACTTTGGAGGAGGGAATTTCCGTTAATTTACATAAAGTCAATCTCAAGTTCCAAAGACTGATCATAGGATCAAGGATGTGAACATTGACTAACTTGTCTTTAGTTCAGTTGATAACCTTTTGATAAAATTTATGATATTAACATACTGTAGATTTAACATTTATTTATATAATATACTTAATTCATAATATTCATAGTACAAGATTTGTAAATACATAAAATTATTTGATATAAAAATATGACAAAGTTAAGGATGTTTTTTTTCAATCTTTCAATCTTCCTCATCTTCATCCTTGATCGATTCAACTTTTGGTTGAGTAGCAGGATAAATATTATAAATCGTAAGACCTAACATAGTACCAACAAATGCGACTATATGCAAATGATGTAACTTTATCAAGAAAAAAAAAGTCGTTTGAAATTAATTACATTTTCTTTTTCTTTATAAGGAAAAAAATTAAATAAAATAAAAAAATAATTAATAAATACCTTCGATTGGAATAAGAATATAGCAAAAATTATAGAATAGAAATCACTTGTCAACAAGGAGAGATTAAAGAATGTGGCAGAAGCCAATTTAAATAAAATTGGGGCTCCGGTATATAGGCAGAACATCGCGATACTATAAGCCACAATTATTCCGACTATAAAATTAATTTAGAAAAAAAAATTTTAAGTCTTGAAAATTTTTTTTTTTGAAATAGGTGAATGGTGAATAGACATACTAATTTTCCCGTCCCAAGTTGAACCTATTAATTCTCCTCGTTCCAAAATCGCCCTTTTTTTGAAGATATAAATTAACATTAAAAGACGCGTTAAATTCTACATGCAAAAAAAATGTGTTAATTACACTTACAATTGTATACCACTAATTATGGTTCCATATATACCCAATTGACCCACAACTTCCCAAAATGGTCGCTGTCTAACCAAAAATTCTTCTGCTACATTGGAAATGGCGTAACAAGTAGCACTTATTAAGCAAAATATGTCTCCCAATATTAAATTGCTGCCTAAAAAAATGATAAATAAATTAATGAATTTAATTTAATTAATCCCATTCCAAGATCATTTTTTATTTAAACAACGACAGTTTACCCGTATTCATTTCCACGTCTGTTTTGAAATCACCAATAATCAATGCGGCTATACCAGCTAAACAAATTAATACAGCAAGGTACTGACTCCAATGAAATCTAACCTTTAAAAAGATGAATGATAACAAGACTACGCATGGAATCGCCCATGTGTCAAGTAACATCGTGGAGAGAAGTGAGGTATACTTGTATGCTTTCACAACAAAATAGTTTCCTTCGACGTCAATTAAAGAAAAGATCGCGTCTAAATGATAAAGAAAATTCGGCGAAAGTCAATATTGCTGCGGATGCACAAAAAACAGGATCACGTGACAGGACTTACACTTCCACCATCTTTTCTTAATGATATTAATCCAACCATTAAATCCTTTCTTGTAAATAGTGAAAGGAGTATAAACAACGGCCAAAATTATATAAGTCAAAAATGTTTGCGTAGTAGGATATTCTGCTTTATGATTGACAGCTAATTCAGTGCTAGTTACTATTGTAACTGTAATACAGAAGGATAGAAATTGTCCAAGTAATACTATGATGATAAAATCCTTCGATAAAACATATGAAAATTTGTCTCTAAGAGAGGTAGAGGTAGGTTCTTCTTTAGAATCATGAACATCCAAAGTTGTTTCTACTTTTTGGTCTGATGACATTTTTTTTATACTTTATTATATGGGATACGCGTTTGTTAATCGTGAAATAATGAAATTTTTTTTTTTTTTTTTTTTTGTTTATCTTAAGAAATATTTTGGGTTGTAGAAAACCTAAAAGAATTCACAAAAGAAATTAATTCATTTTAAGGAAGATTTTTTTTTTAATTATGCAACACAACGATTATTTTTCGGAATCATCCTATTAATTATGTAAAAAGGGTTGTTTTACGATTTTCTTTAATCACGCCATAAAGGGAATTTTTAGGTTTTACAGAAGGAATTGCTTAAAAAACATTAACTTTTTTGAATTTCACAAAAACTATTCAGCCAAATGAATAGTAACCATTTTAATAGAAAATGTTCGAAAAAGGAAACTTAGATTATCAAAAGGTTAGATCAGAGATGCAATAGCGATGCCCGTTGGCATTTAAAATTATTATTTTTTTGTCGGGAAAATTCCCGATTAAAAAGAGAATTGTCAGGTCTTTTTTCTTATTTATCGAGATTATTTTTTTTTTTTTGAATATATAATTTTTTAATTCTATATATATAAATAAATAAATAAATATATATATATAATAAGAAAATTTTTTGGAGAAAAAATTTCTGAAATTAGTCATACACGCTTATAAATCATTGCTTTCCTATTTTAGTAAATTGCGACCATCGGGACAATCCCCTTTTCGCCTTGTGACACGAAACTCGGCTGAATTTGAACCGTCGACGGTTTCCCTCTTGAACACTAGTATATTAGTTAAATGTAGCTTTTTTGCGAGCTGAAATTTTCAAATTCAATTAAATCTAAAAATAAATATTAATCTCATCACAATGATAGTATACGATGACCCCCATGTAATTTCCACAGAATTAAATTATAAGTCCACCCAAATCATTAGCCTCAAAGTCAACATTTTACTTTTACAAAAGTAAAACTTTAGTTAAGACAACTGGTATCTATAGATTGATACCAGTATCATATATAATTGACTTTACCAGTTATTCTTTTAAATCATATTATCCTTTTATGGTAATTTCATAGTAAATGTATCTGATTTCCAAATCGCGTAATAAAAATATTTTCAAATATGCTATGCAACTTAGATCAATTTATGATCCCGATTTGTATTATAACAATGCAAGGGAAGTTATAATCAATTATTTATTTATTTGTCCGATTTCGGAGTATCGGAATTGTCTTTTACAAATGAGCACGTGAAGTTCTAAATTTGGCCCACATGCGGGAGATGATAAATTAAAATTCTATTGAAAGTAAGTTCAAACAAATTCTATATAACTGCAAATAAAATTATACTATAATTAATTAAAATCTTTATAGCAGACGATTGCTATATATTACTATTCTTTTCACGTTTTTAACAGCAAAATTGGTTTGATCCAAATATATAGCTAAAATAAATTGTAGAGATGTGAGAATTTACAATTCGTTGAAGGCCATTCGCGTTGATTAATCGTCGAAGGGTCGTTTTTTGATAAGTTTTGTTCATGTCTTCTATTTACCACATTCTTTAATTCCTTCCCTATGCAATATTTGTCTCCCTTTTTTCAGCTCATCACTTCAAATGTATATTGTAAGAAAATATTAGGTAAATTTTGATTACCAAAATCACATGACTCTGCTAATACGGCAAATGTTCTTATATATAGAAAATTCAAATTATTGTATTATTGACACATGCTGTTTAGTAAAGCAAATCCCTTTAAATTTATTCACGTGCAATAAATTTGTTCCAAATAATCAAAAAAAAATTGTAGCATTAAAATTGAAAATATTTATGTTTTAGTGTTTCTGGTCATCATCCAATTTAGTATTTTATTTTATAAAACATTACATTTTTGTTTCATAATATATATAGGTCTATAATATACCTTTTTAAAATAGGATTTTAAAAAAGTTATTGTCAAAGTAAAACGAAAATCAATAAGTTAACTAATAGAAAATGAAGAAGAAAATTAAATTACAATTAAAAGAAAAATTTAAGAAATTTTGTTTTGTAAAATGGAATTATTTTTACTTTATGCTGGTTCTAAAATATATATGCTCTCTAATTAATACAAATAGGTAAGAGTCAAGGCGAATGCAGAGGTAGTTATACCGAGAAAGCTTGGTAGAAAACTACTTGCATCATTGGCTTGATCGTCGTCGGGTGAAGATTTCTTTGGTACAGAATCATTGCTTTTATCTCCGGGATTTTTTGTTTCACTTGGGGAAGAATTTTGGCTTGCACCAGTTTGACTGGGTGTTAGATATGATGAAGTAGAAGAAATGGTGGTAGTAGTAATATTATTGACTGGACTCTTAACATTTGGAGTTTTTGGATCAAATCCTTCGATATTTCCATTAACTCCTTCAATACTAAATCTCCCTGAGAAAGCGAAGTAACTTTCCGTGGTATATTTAATGAAGTAGAAGTTACCGGGAGGACCAACGTCTTTAGGTACTGTGTAGGTAAACGTTTTAGCAGTTGCAAGAGCTTTACCAATATTAGTAACAACATGCTGGTTTTCTGGTCCACCAGCCATTAATTCTATAGTTACTTCTCCAATTTTATTTAATGTAGGAACTTTGCGATCATCAACCCAAGTTATTGTTTCTTTTTCACCTCCATTCCAAGTCACAGACTCGTATGGATTATATGTAGTAATACCGGCTCCAGTTGATGAGACCAAAAATAAAGTGACACCAAAGAGAGTTGTAGGGAATTTCATTTTTAATTTTTTTGTTTTGTGAAAAGGAATATAAAGAAGGTAAAATTAAATATACACCACAATCCAAGTGATGAAATTTATTGGAATGTAGAGAGAAAGGACAAAAAAAAATGTGAAAGTGATTAATACAGACAAAGGGGTAATTTCAATCTTTTTATACAAGTAATGGAGGTGGTAAGTTTTATTTTTACAGTATAATAAAGATTTTCAAATCGAACCTTTCCCAATTTTGGACAAATTTCCTAAAATGTGTTTCTCATGTCCTCACATAAAGATATTTTTTTTTTCTAAATTACTAAAATGAAATTAAAAAGAAATTTCATTTCTTTTGCTTTCGGAAATAATCGTCTAATAAAATTAAAATTTATCAAGCAGAATATGCATTTCTTGTTATTTTGATCGCAAAAAAAGGGAAGATTTTAATTTTTTTTTATTCTTTACTAAATTGATGATTTATTATTAATTTGATTCAAGTCCAATTAACATTCAGACAATTATTACTTCAATATATGAATATCATCTGATACTCAAATCAAAAATAAAAAATGTGAAAATGAGTACATTGCCAAGTCCCACTTTTTTATTTTCATAGCGAAATTGATAGAAGTGTTTCTCTTTAATTGTAATTTAGTCGAAATTCCAATAAGACAGAGAACGTATTGCGGTAAACCTATTAATGAATGTCATACCCTAAAAAAAAATGATAAGGCCTTGTATAGTTTAGGAAGAAGATTTACCCATATTTAACAAACCAATGAATTTGAACAATTTGTGATATCAATAATGCGAAGCAGTTCCTATTTTAATTTTTAATTCAAATCCAAATTAAAAACTTATCTTTTGAGCTTATCATAATTCATAAGAATCTTCCACCTGTTATTTAAACTTCAAGGTTTTTTTGTAGCTGCCGACATGTCAATATTGACACTTCTTTTAATTACTAAACATGTCAATTTAGAGTAGAATTACATAATCACTTGATTCAATTGGTTCAATTGTGGGATGTTCGTCTTGATACCATGCTTTTCTACTTCAGACCGTGATTTAGGAAGGATTTTTTTGTTGATGAAAATAAACATTTGGAGATTGTTATATACAGTATAATCGTATCATTGATAACATTTTTCCTAAGGTTTTACATATGATTCTCTCTCTGCCATTTTTCGGAATCAAAGATATTATTAAAATAAAGTAAAAGTTTAATAGCAAAAATATAATATATTCGGCGAAAAATTTTTTTCGAAGCTTTTATCTCCATCACTTGTTCTAATTAAAAGAAATTATATATCTATAGTAATTTTAATTGGTTTTTTAACTACGATGATCATAGAAATAAATTCTTGGCTTTCTTTGTTGCGTGTTAGAATCATTATCTTGTTAAAATACCCAACGCCATTTATTTATTATAAATTTTTGTACAAGCCTTATGAAATTATTTTTAAAATATCTGAATTGTAATTTCATCAGAAAAAATAATCTGATTCCATTTCTTTCTTTTGCAAATTCTATATAATACTTATAAAAAAAGTTCTGCTTTTAGCTATATTGAACTAAATATGTAAGATATACTTTATAAAAAGTAATGATATTTCTAAAAAGTTTTTTGGATTTTTTTGGATTTTTAAGATTTTTTGATATAATTATATAATAAAGCAAGAAAAAAAGACCTTATTTTATTTACATAACTTTAAAAAATCCAAATTAATTTTTTGCCATAACGTTATTTATAATATATAATAAATATAGTTATTTAACTAGTTGTATATGAACCTTTTTATATTAATTTTATTTCAAAAGTAAACATTTGAATGACATATAAATATCAATGATCATAAAATTGTTTTAGTAGTGAAAGATAAATCTCAAGTTTTAATTGTACAAGAATTTACTTGTTTTACTCATTAATTTAGTGAGAAAAAATTAAAAATAATTAGTATGCAATATATATCATCTTTCAAAAAATGAACAAACCCTAAATATTTATTCAGAATTATACAATTTGATTTATTTGCAAATTAATAATCAAGAATTATGTATTATACTTAAAATCAAACTTGTTTCACATGAATAATTTATCAAATAAGTTTAGTTAATATACATCTTATAAAAATCAAGTTGCAGCACAAAGTTTTTTGAAGTCTATAGTATTTGTTATTGAAAAAAAATAGTAAACAATATTAAAAATTCTAAAAACTAAAGTATTATGATTGATGAAAGCAAATGTTTTATTTCAAAATATTTAGCAATTATAATAAAATATATATTAAATCATATTACAGTTTTATAATATTTAGTTATAATTGAATTAGATGATTATAGAGCTAATTCTATAATAGAAGAACTTAAACAATTTATATTAGCAAAAATGCTTGTTATAAATGATTTAAATCATTTATAAGTGATAAAACAAGTATAATGTTAGGTTATCAGAGTAAAGTTGTAAAGTTATTACAAAATTAAAAAAATTTAACCTATTTATAACAGAAAATTATTATATTGCCTATAGATTACATTTTACTAGTAAAGATTAAGTTTTTTATTTTAAAATATATGATAAAATATTAAAAAAAATATATAGATATTTTAATAGTTCATATAAATAGCTATTAAATCTTAAACTAATTCAAAATACATTAGAATTAGTTTTTCTAAAAATTATCTCAACTAGATGACTTTCTTTTTCAAATGTTATTAAAAAATTTATCAAATTATTGAATCAGTAAAAGGAGTATTTCTTGATGATTCAACTTAAAATAATACATTACTTGAACTATTGTCAACTATTGATGAAGAATTTGAAATTATTATAATGTTTTTAGCTGATTTTTTCTTTATCTTAAGCAAATTAATTCAGGTTTTTCATTTAGATCATGTAATATTATCTGATGTTTAAAATAACATAAATATAACAATTAAAGCTATTCAAATACAATTTATTGGAAACAATGATATAAATCCTACATATAGAATTAATTTACAGGATTATTTATCATAATATATACTAAGATCAAATATTTCTTTTTTTATTTCTGATTTTGCTCAAAAATCATTTTTCAGATAAAGAGTTATATTGAACTAAGTAAATTTATGATCTACAATAACTTTTAACAAATAATTAAAATCTTGTAAATTATGACAAAAATGAAATTAAAATTTTGTGATTTTTATGAAACTGAAAAAGAGTAAGATAATATAACATTTAATTCAAAAAGGCTTTAAAAAGTGAATAGAATTAGTTAAATTTTTTTAAAAATTATCAAAATTTACATTTGAAGCATAGCAAAAAATTTTTTTACAAACTTCTTTTATTTCTGATTATTCTGATACTATTATTTTAGTAAAATTATTTTAATTACTCCAATTTCAAATGCAAATGTTGAATGTATTTATTTTCAATAAAATCTTATTAAAATCTAAATTTATAATCAAATCTTAAATAATTATTTAATGATTAAACTAAATAGTCCTTTAAATTGATTTATTTAATTTTGAATTAGCTTTTGATTACTGGTATTTTAAAGAATAATATGTTTAGTATAATATTTTAATTTTAAATATAGTATGAATTAAATTTACGTATATTTGTTTATTACTTTATTATTATTATATAAATTATTTTTATATATAAAATTATTGACACATATTAGTTTGTTAATAATGTGAATTAATGCAAAATAATATGATAAAAATGTGATAATATTTCACATAATTTGGAGTTTGAATTTTAGACTGTTTGCTTTGATATTAATAGTAAAAATATTTGTTTTTTTTTGTATTTTTACATCAGCTGCAAAACATGATCATCTTTTTATTAATATCTTCACTCTGTTTAAGCTAAGGATAAATACGTAACCAATTTGAATCAAATTCTTCATAAACTTTTTTATTTGATTTTTGTTCACTTTGATTTTTCATTTTTGTATAGCTGCACTGCCTGTACCTTCAGCAGATTATTCGTTTTCAGGGTTTATTTTTTGAATAACAAACTTGTCAATTATTAAAATTTCAAAAAATAATGAAATAAAGATTTTTTAAAAAGGAAAACCCACTAAGCAAGAGATTGAACAAAATAAAAAATTTTATTTCAAAAAAATGTGCAATTTAGTAAAATTGAGAAAAATATCAATTATTATTATAAATTAAATCTAATTACATCCGCACACTAAGCCACAAAATTTGTAATATTCATGTGTGCATGAGCATTTTGCATATAGATTTTAGACACTGATCACTATCTAAAATGACACAGATTTTAGAAATACTTACGGTTATATCATGATGATAACATACAGTGCAGAAACTATAGAGTAGTATATAAAGTATAATGATAAGAATGATTTCCTGTAGGACTATTTTATTTTTTTTACAGATCTAAATTAATCTTGAAAAATTCTCTTGTCAGAACTTAATCCCTTATATGATAAAAGAAAATTTTTATATAGATATAGGAATAGAATTATATAGCGAAAAAAATTAATAGATTAGGACTCAACTCCATTCATTTTACTATATTCATTTTTATTAATTAATAAAGATTTTAGCTCATATCGGATTTTTGATTTGTTCATGAAGTGAATTTATCGGGAATTTTACATTTTATTTTAGTACATATTTATAATTTGACCTCGAAAACATATGGGTAATATGCTATTAAAAATTGAGATACGAGACATAGTAAATTATATGATCCGTACCTTAATTTTAATAGCACACTACTCATATTATTTTATATCATCACGAATCTATTTAGTATTTACATTTCATCCTTTATATTTATTGTCTCCTATTGTAATATAATTCTAAAAATGAAAATTATCAGAAATATGATTTATATCTGAAATAACAAAATATATATAAATAGGTGGGTAGATTTCCTTCCAAATAGTTTTTCAATTTACTAAGACTATTTACCTACATAGTATAAATGTATTCAGTATATAGTACTTAGGATTCCTCAAAATCGAATCAAATCAAATATTTAAGCAATTTTGAATTTGATT